ATATTTACTTTTAGCTAGGGACCGTCAAAACCTTATAGGTCAAAACTTAAAATCCTAGGTGGGCCGATAGATGTATCTGTGAGTATTTTTCAGTTAACATAAAATTTTCACTGACAGAAGACACAGTTAACTTGGTACAAACTTACCATAAAATATAATATTTATAAATAAATAAATTAAAAAAATATATTTATACCATAAAATATTCCCACGGTAAACAAACCGAGTAGGTACTTGTCGTATAATGACGCTGTAACAATTATCTCAAGCGCCTGGAAGTGGATCAATTACATAGTCCGCTGAACCGAAGTGTGTCAAACAAATCGGTTAAGATTACTAAGATTGCAATGTCTATCTTATGACGTCAGTGTAAGCGATTCGGCGTAGCATTGTTTTTTAAATGGATATATACACCTACCTACATAAATGTATTATAATATGAGACGCTATATATAATATTATCTCGATCTGATCTCAAAAGTGTAAGAGAATAGTTGGTGCGGCAGATGACGACTAAAATATTCGCCTTGAGACTTATAAAAAAAAAAAAAAAAAAAAAAAAGTAATCAGGCGGTGAATCTCTGTGGGGGCGCGTGGATGAATGGATGGAGTTTGACAGTTGTTGAATTTTGAATAGTCTTTCCCAGATCGATTTGAGTCCTCCTTATCGGGTGCTGTTTTTTAATCGATTTTGAATTTTACTCGAAATTGAATTTCCTCGCTGATTTGGGTAGGTATTCCCTTTTCCTCAGCTTACGGCGAGCGTAGGTATATAGTTTTGAGTTTATTCTTCGGTTCGTCTCGAACGCGGCGGCTGTCTGTTTGACTGTGGCCTTTGCCTTCAGTTGAAGTGGGAAACAAATCATAGACACATGTTTGGGAGTGGACGACCCGTCTATCATCTATGAGCAATTGTCAAAACAACTTTTAAAATTTCACGATCTGTTTGTGGTACGTTGAACTTTTCATCTTTTCTTCTGCCCAAAGTATAATAAAAGGCATATTATTGTCGTCGGAGTCGTGAGATAGATCCGAAAAGTTTATATCCCGAAGGATATTGGCGGAAAAAGCGCGGAGCCGCTAACCGAACTGAGTTTCGTGGACGAACACGAACCTTCGCAAGGCGATTGCAATAATAAGGCGGTAACTTGTGATAGGAAACAAAATACTTACGGATAGTTTCATATTTCGAACGGCTTGTACGTTCCCCTCAAGAAATATTGGAGGACTAACAAGGAGACTTTTTTTCTGTACACGGACCAGAAGAGACGCGGGAGTTTATTTGCCAGCCGCTCTCCGGTTTTATGTAACCCGGCCGTAACAGCAGACAGATTATACACAGCTAAACCTATCATAATCAAGGTATTTCTCTACTAACCCCGGGTGAACGTGGAAAGGAACCACCAGGCGAGGTTGGACCCCGACTTACCCATTTCCATATATTTACATATATCTATATAACTGGTTATCTCACTGAGAACTAGAATTAACTAAGTTTGTCACCAATATCGATCAAACGAGCCGTAGAACCTCTGAAATCCACTAAATAGCTTATTCAGTCTAGTCTATGTGGTATTTGTGGATAAAATATATTAGTAAGTATTATATTGTAAGTACATGGTAAAGTGTTATGAATGTCTGATATTCATATAATTATAACCTTTCATGACAACTTGTTGGTTTATATACACATTAACTTTGAACTACTGTATTCAGCTTAGATATTTATAATTAGTGAAACATAGTTATTATATAAATAATAAACATAGTTAGACTTGTTGATTTATATAAGCAATAACTTAAAACTACTGAATTCCTATGCTTTGGTATCTAAAGTGGATAAAATATACTTATAACATTATCTTAATTTTTTGGTTTTCTTTTATTGTTCCCCCGGTGCTCTGAGTGAGCTAGAAGAGGGCGGTGGAGGAGAATTTAACATCACATGTTCCATCTATCTTCATAACCGTGACAGCAGCCCTGCAACCTTACTTAATTTGCTTCTTGAAACTTTATAGAAGATAAAATGTCGTGTCGTATCAAACGGTCAAGTTCACGGTCACCATGACCAACAGAAATAAGAAATTGTTAATATCGACAAGCATATATAAGAAAGTTTAAACTTTCTTTTCAGTCTTAATAAATTATTGTTTTCATGACTGCAGTGCTATTCTGTAAGAACAAACTCACTTTTTACCGCTGAATCCGCGATGTGATATGAAATTAGAACACGAATTTCAAATCACACCAGCAAATTCCGCTGTAAAATGTGAGTTTATTCTTACAGAATAGCACTGCTGCAGTGCTACTGCAAACTCATCATTATCGTCCTCATCAGTCTATTCATGCGCCCGCTGCTGGGGAACAGGCCTTTCCTATGAATGGAATAGGAAGATTGCTTAACTTCCGAGTGTATAAGAGCTATTCGATGGTGCAAGTGAGTAATATACGCCATTGAGCTGCTGTGATACACTTATAAACAATTTTTATTCATTCCTTTTCTTGCGCACCAGAAAGATCTGGAACGATCTTTCCTCAACGGTTTTCCCTCTGAGCAATGATAAGACTTCATTCAACCAACATTTTTCTTCTAAACCGGTAACTCATGAGTGGTGTCCTTGGTGCTGCAAGTGTCCAAGGGCGGCAGCTATTACTTATCATCAGGGTGACTGCCAGCTCGCTTGCCTGCATAAACATTAAAAAAACATAACTCGATAACCCGGGATTCAAAGACAAACACTTTAAAGTAGAAATCAGAAGCATTGCCATTGCACAAACCAGTGTTCCATATCCAGCAGCCAGATTTTTATATTAATAATAGCACATTAGAGCATTCGAATGTTCCCGAAATTTCGTATAGAAATGATGAAGTTTTCTGCGGGGCGAGTTGCGACAATGGCGCTGTGTCACGGCCGCGCCCACTGGTGAATGTGCACGGAATGCGTGCGCAACTTGAATTAAACATAACGCCAATATTGATAGCTTGTTTCCAATGCACTAGATGATAAAGATGACAAATCTCCGCTCTTGGAGATGAACGAAATCGAAGAATAAGTTTATTCTCTTATAGGCATTTATTACAAGTGCTTTTATATTATTTATACTCCACCTGCATTTGGAGCACGTAAATAAAAACTCAACACACGTAAGTAAACACGTCTGTCAAGTATTCTCAATAAATTCGCCACATCAAAGAAACTTGAAAATGAAAAATATTTAACAAACAAACTTATAGTAACTTCTATTCCAAAGACTGATGTTCTGAGCGCGACGAAAAGACATGGTCATTTATTGAATTAAGTTTTGCTGCCCTAGATATTCGGCCCTACATAGAGGGATTTAGGTATGGGCAAGGTGCAAGTTTGCCCCCCTTATATTATATTTCCGCACTCGAATAAATCCAAAAATCCCTGCTTAAGCTCCCCTGCTATTAGCTGTAAGTCTTAGTTATTTAATTTCCTTTGCTTGTGTAACTAAATAGCTACAGAAAAATCAGTGCTTTCCGATCTTTGATATCTAAAAAAAAGTTCGCGGACAAAAGCTCCTGTCTGCGCAGGCCCTTTAAACTGATTTCTCATTTTGTCGCATATATAGAACCAAAATAAGGGAAGCACTAGATTAAAAACTCTATCTAAGATTCTTAATTCTATACACCATTTTTATTTCTTTAGTACTTATGGTTTTTCTTCTGATAATAATAATAGACTGTACATAAATTCAATTGTATAGTGGAAAACAATTCCAAATCGTGAGAGATTAACAGCGGATCACAAATCGGCGTCACATTTTAATCAACATTTGGTGTTGCCAATGATACCTGTTGTTTGGTTGGAAACAAAATCGGTCCAATTTTATTGCGATACATTTTTTGAATGAATAATTCATGTGTGGGCGCGTAACTGTTCCACATATATCATTACTTTTTCGTCTATTCTGAGGTGGAAATACCATGTTAACACCAAGTTGAAAAAATCTTAAAACATGCTGCCGTTAACGTGTCTTTCAATTCAAATACGTAATACATTACTAATTTTGATCAAACTTTTGTTATAAAATGATGATGGTGTTGCAACCTTTTATACTGTAATGATCCAATAAAAGCTTGAGTAAATAATAAACTTTTGTCAGTAGGGCTCAGAAGAAAAATGTTTACTAAACTTACTTGTACACTGTGAAAAGTGTTAATTAAATGTGTGCGAATTATGGCAGATAGCTTTACTCATCCGCATCTTGAATCGCATTTTACATTATGTAAATATTTTTCACAGATATCTTATCTGCCTAATAAGTCATTACTCCAATTAACTGCTTTAAACCTGAACACTTTTGTAACGGTAAAATATTATTTTCACCTTAACAATAAATTATTAACACAAAAGATAATCATCATCTCATATTAACAACGTATGCTGCTTATTAAATATTTAATTTACCGAAATAAACCACAACAGGTTTATGAAAATAGTTAAATCGTCCTTGTGCGGTAACTCGACACTCCCTCGCGCTCCAGTTTCTTAGTCTTATGCACTTTCACTATCTTGATATTGCGCAATCGCTGCATATTTAACAAAACCGAAAATACTTTTGTTGAAGGCAATTACTGTTTTAATTTTAAGTACCAATACGATACGCTCTGTGATTTCGAGATTGCTGTCGATGTCATTCATATAATTATAAAAAACCATAAAGTTACTTTAGTTAACTCATTCAAGGACTAAGAATCATAATACGTTTATGTTATGTTGAGAAATAATAAATATATATTTATTATGCTAAATATCGACCGAGAGGCAAAATATTTTTTCTTTGCTCATAGTAAAAGCATAAACTTTTTACTAAACGTATCTATGCAACGTTTGTTGAGAATCATAATTTTACTAATTGTATTCATCTAATATTCTATCTCTATATAGGATATGTCGAGCATTCATAAAAATAAGCAAAGGTTATAATTCAATGTGAACATAATTTATGAAATAAAAATACAGATGTTTTAAAGTTTGGATTTTAATGTCGAAACTTATAGAATATAGTACTGGTCTGAACTTCATCGTAATATTTGTGTCGAGAGTTAATCATAAAAATTCAGTCTATCACTTTTATGCCTACGCTTAGCTATCTACTTAACATTACCTTATGATCTACTTTGTGAAATAAATTATATATCAAACATATCAAGAAGATTAATTACTGGTTTTCGCTTTTTCACAACTTTGCGTATGATTTCTTTTTGGACGTGACTATGGCTGCCGTGTGGGGGATGATGATAGCGGTCCTCGTGTGAATCGTCTTCGTTAGGGTAATGAGGTCTATAGTCATCATAAGTTTCGTGATTGTAGTCGTCATCCTTAGGTGGTGTTTTATATTTCTTCTTTGGTACCAGAATATAATCATCCAAGTTATCGCTATTATACTCTGAATGTTTATTTGGCCTATATTTCTTTTTAGGACGCGGTGGTACCTCGTCATGGTAGAACTTCTCAGGTAATGGTGCGTCTGGTAGTGATGGATAACTATGTTTAATAGATGAAGCTGGTTTGTTTATATCTTCGTACTTTGAACCTTTGTACCCTGATCTGTAAGGATTCGGTCTTTTTTCAATTTCGAAGTTTTCAAACTTTTCATAATCATCATTATAATCGGGCATTGGATGCGTCTGTTTATTTGAATTGTGGTCAAGAATACTTGAAAATGCATTATTGTCTATATTTCCTTTCTTGTGTTTTGTTTTACAATTGGGATCAATGTTAAAACCAACATGAGATTCAGCTGGATGTTGATCATAAGGATGCTTGATAGAGTAGCTATGAGTGAAGTCACTGGATTCTAAGTCTTGTGGGTAGTAACTGGGTCTTTTTTTTGAATAATCGCGGAAATTTTCGAATTGTGGTTTATTTTTTATTCTGTGTCTTGAGTGGTGATACTCTGGATCCTCCTCTTCAGGGTAATCGTAAAACTTTTCGTAATCCCTCATTATCCTTTCTTCACGGACACTTCTACCGGTGGCGTCATTAATTTGTTCATTTTCGTTGTTAACAACTGCTTTAAAACCTGTATCAGGTCCTGCGGAGTATTCTACAGTTTTTGTAGAGCCATCGGGTTGTACGACACTGTATTGACCTGTAAATTGTAAAGTAATAAATGTTAAAGTTTTATATGAGTAATCATTTGATATAAAGAGTATTTTATTCTTATATCAAATGTTGACTAATAATAAATTAGTACGTATGGGGAAAAAATATTATTTTGCCAACTTTATGTAGGTACTCGGCGTAAGTAATTTATTAAAAATAAGTAAATAACTTCTTTCGATATTGTTTAATTCATAATCTTTTGATTCTGTAAAATTATTTAATTCAATATAGTAAGTCACTATATTTCAAAATTACTGACTCACCTTTTACGGTATCACCCTCCTTAGTCTCCCACACGGTCTTAATGTCTCCTGTTCGTGAATCTGCGACTCCATAGCTGTATGAATAGCTAGCTTGATTTTCCTGCAACAGTAAAAATAACAATGACTATACCAAGCAATCTATTTTATTTCTTGTTTAATAAGAATACACAGTTTTACTAAAAGAATATAAAAACGCCAAGAAATTGTGTAAAGAGTGATAGCTCGCGTGAGCAGATTCGTTATTTTACTCATAATGACAATTGCATGTGTGAGCTGACTTTAATATTCTGAATATTTATTAAGCATTGTAATCGTTTCCATAACTCTGGAATGCCAGTGGTTAATTACTGTCTATTACAACGTGCGATAGTAAACGTCAGTAAGTACGTACGTCAAGAAATCTAAATCGTGTAACGTTCACTGTATGCGCACACGGTTCATTTGTTTAACGACAGTATGTTAATTTTATGAAAATTGACATAAATCGCGTGCTAAATGATGAATCAAAGCCTGAGTTTCCTTATTAAGTAATATTGGACTGGGTTCATTAGTTTCTATGCCTGCTTCCAACTTCTGGTTCTATTTCATATGAATCACTGTCACTAATTTTCTTTGACGACCTCCTTGGCCGAGTGGTTTGTACGCCGGGTTTCATGGTGTTGCCGACTCGAGAGGTCCCGGGTACGAATCCCGGTGGGGGCAGATGTTTGTGTGATGAATACGAGCATTTGTACTCCAGTCATGGATATCTATCCGTTACCCTAGTATCCCATAACACAAGCCTTATAGTGCTTAGCTTGGGGCTAGGCTAATTGGTGTGTGTTGGAAATATTTATTTTATTTATTTGTCTTAACTAATTATTGAGGAATGTGATGATGCAGTGGTTATCGATGCATCTAGGTATTGAAGACACATTCACAATGGCTGATCATTAGAATGGTGATAAGAAATATTTATTTTGAGCTTCTCCGTACTTTGAGGTGCACGATGGTGCAGGTGGTTAGCGCATTCAGCCTGCAATCGTGGAAGTTAATCAAGGTTCATAATAGTCAGTCATTGGATGAGTGACCAAAAACTTATTATGTCGAGCTCCTCCGTGCTTCGGAATGAACTTTAAGCCGTTGGTCACGGCTGCATTTGCAGTCATTAGCACCCAAATCCGCACTGGGTTCGCGTGGTGTGTCATGGCTAGTCTCCCTATTCTATCCATAGGGAAGACCTGTGGCCAAGTAGTAAAATAATAGGCTGCATCTGTAGTTGTAAGCAACCATTAATCCACACTGGATCATTTTCACTATTATCACCATAGAAGGGAAGCGTGCAGCAGCAGTATTGTTAATGCTTGATAAAATGTGTCAGCATTGAAACATAAAGATCTCAAATGAATTTTTAAAATTATTTTAGTAAAACTTCTATAATATTAACCGAATATGTATGTTTCATACAATACAAGTTTTTCTAAAATAATCAATCGGTTACCTAATGCTGACGTAAACATTTAATTTTCTTATTTTAATAAGTAGTAAAGAGATTTTTTTTTCGAGATAAAATAAGTAGGAAATTTTCTACGTTGTTGCGATCCCGCTACATGAGAGAGTACCAAATGTTTTACGAGAATACTCAACTACAACAACTACTAGGTTTCTAAGCACGCTATTTTTGAATAGTTTTTTACTGTTTATTTCTAAGCGGGCAGAGAAAATTAAAAAAAATAAATAGCTCATTTTGTACCCGTTAAAAGGTAGCTTTATCTGAGTGGTGTGCGTGAAAAAATAAGAAATTAATATGAAAAAAATGCAGTTACATATTTCCAAATACAATTTTCTATTTTTTATACAAGTTTATTTCATCTTTAAATAATGACAACGTTACATTGTAAGTGTCAGCGACTGGCAGTCGTGTTCAAACTTCAAGTTCAAGATGCACAAGCGCATCGACCGTTACTCAATGTCAATGACAGACGGTTCACTTTCGCTTATTTCCGTTTGCGTTCACTTTTCAACGGCAATATTTATGAGCCCGTTAGATGCGTAGTAATAAAACTTTACCACGGCACTAAATATCAATCATTTCTAATTGACTGATGTGCCACAGCCACAGTCGAAAGTGTTAAAAAAGTTTGGAAGCAATAATAACGAGTTCAGTGTTATTTACTCACAAAATTACAGGAAATTAACAAGCGTTAGAAGTCAATTATATTTTTGATAAAAACCTGTGCGGTTTTTGTTAGTTTTTAACTAGCATATATATATCAATTTTATTACAATTACCAGTGTCAATGTAGCGCAAAAGAAAGCTAAAGTTTTAAATTGTCTGATGATCCCTTTAAGTAAAGTCAAAGTTATGGTTTCCGGAACTGCAACAATCGCATTGGTTTAGCTTTAATCTACGCTAGCTAATTATCTTTCATTGGAAAATCTTTAAGATTATGCTACTTTTCGTTGGTGTGCCATTCCAGGACTTTCGGAAATATACCTTTAAATAATGTTCTTCTATAGTTACCAATAAATAAACATTACCATGCTTTAAGTATTTAGAATCTAAACTTGCCCACATCACATCAGTAAATGGAACACGGGACCATCACACAGTGAAAGCCGAATGCAAAATTTATAATACAATGTATTTTAGCATAATATGGGACAAGACAACCTTGAAACGCGCTCACTTTAAAAAAAGTATTAAGTGTAACAATCGCGTACAAAACAAGTTGTAATGTTGCTATGGAGAAAAGTGGGTGAACTGAACGGGTTCGTAACATAAAATATTACGACACCCAATGACCACTTTCGATAAGTGTTTGCACTGTATATAGAACTGTTTCGACAATGTAACGACATTGCAATAATTATGTTAATAGTAATGCTATATTTTGTTTTAATATTGCAGAAGCTGATTATGATACTTGTAAGAACTAAATATTAATTTTATTAGTTTCTTAAAAACAGTGATGTTCACACACTTCATACAAGAAACAAAAATAAACTAACTTTACCTGCTAATAGGCTTCACAAATCAACAATTCATTTAAAGGTCTCCGTGTTCGCTTATAAAATTCAATCCAAGTCCCAAGCAATATACAAGAGTTAACCGTAAATAAATTCAAATATAGTATAAAAAAGCGTATTACAAAGTATCTGATTATATTAAAACAAAAATGCTTGGGTTTGCACTATTCCAATCATTCCAACAGGTTTTCTATATTAAATAAATCATGGTTGTATTGACGTTGTAACAACATAATGATTTGTAAATCTTGTTACATTATACTTCTAATGTTGTGGAGATTTTTCGCTCGTTTTTCTCCGCAGCTAAAAATATGTCCAATAACGAGTAATACATCCAATTTGAATAAAAATGTATTGATTTCGCATTTCTAATAAGCATGCAATGTAGCCCAATTTTAAAATTTACTTTTAGTAATATTAATGGCAGAATATAATATTTAGATAGAGTATATTAGATTTTCCGCTTGAATTGGAGCGCCCGACTGGGGAAGAACAGACCTTACAGAAGATCACAATAAAATAATACTACATTTTGGCAGTTATGTTTCTGTCGGTGAGTAAGGTTCCAGGGCTCCACGGGAAAGGTTATTTATTGGGTCAGAGTAGTAGGTCAGAGTAACGGCGCGAGCGATATTTTTGTATCATTTATAAGCTGTGGTGTTCGCTTAGAATCCGGCGGACCATATGCTTCTTTGCAACCCTTTTAACATATAAAGTATGATTATGATATTAATTGAATTTCAGTGATTTATTAACATTATTAATATCCGTGTTCACCAATTATATCTAAAGTATCTCCTTTAGTATATTATATTTAATGCTCTGCGCTGCAGTACAGTTGGTACTTAAAGAAAAAATCTATAAAATTTAACCCAATCATCTTTTAACGTGGTACTGCCAACCTAACACTTAGGGTGCAAACATCGGCTCCTGTTATAAAGACATTCCTTATAACCTGACGCGTACCTTAAGGGTTAGTAAAAGGAAAATTTTATTAGGTGTCTGCCACAAATATCAAAAGGTATCTTTAAACTGCGGATGCGGTGAAAATTGGAAAAGACGAATTAAATATTAATTTTATTCCAATCACTATAAACTTCTAATAGGTTTTACTGTATTCTATTCTATCTATTTTCTTAACAAATTTTAAACTATTCATTATATATTTGTAAAAAAAAAAAACATTCACATTAGGCCCTAAATTTTATTTTTTTAATTCAAAGTAATCATTTGATTTTATTTTTATTCCACCGTATTTGGGACATAGATATATGTACATGTCTGTACCAAATTTCAACTTGATTGCTCCAGTAGATTCCGAGCAAATTGACGTTGACAGACGTTTTTTTGATGGTATCTATTACATCTCTGCTCTTACACGCCTCTTGACGTTTAGTATATTTATTTGTATTTTTATTAATATGGCACTCATAATATAAATCTAAATATAATAATATATTTTATGTTGTAACTCATGACTGTTTTGTAGTTTTTTGGATCAAGTATAGCTTTTATATAACTTTTAATTTATTTTCAATTTCGAATTACGTATGAATTCTTTATTACTCGCCAGCTGTTGACTTAAGAACGCAAAAAGAATGGTAACACAGTCAAACATAACAGTAACACTGAGAAGAGGCCGTAAACGAAAACGAAAAAAAAGTTGTTACTCTGCCGTCTGTTTGTCTGTCTGTTTGCTGTCTGTCCGTATGTTACGGGTCCCTAGATCTCAAACCGAATGAGTTACAGAGCTGAAAAAGGTTGCGTCAATTCGAATATTTAGTTTAAAAATAAATACAATAGAAAGACTTTGAAAGCCGACGTACATACCCCTCTACCACGGAGTTCGTTTCCGGAAAACAACGTTTATGTTGTGACAAGTGATACAAAAGATATTATAATCAGATTTTTCAAAATCGGGGTGTTCGCAACGCTGATTTGATAGGGTAATTAATTTCCCATACAACTATACTTTCGTTTTCTATTTTATCTTTGTTTTTCTAAGAATCTTAAAAATAATGTGCATATTGTGAAACTAATGTCAATGTCATAATAGAACCTCAATCGAATTTTCTTTTCGCAAAAAAAATATCTCATGGTCTGTTCTAGAGTACCTATCTCTGTAGTAAAATTCATCAAAACCTGTTGCTTAGCCAAAAAGGGTTACAAATAGATTAAAATGTATATTTCATACTTTTGAATTGACTATATTTATATTTCCCAGATTTCCAAATCAGTAGAAAACTTTACTTGACTAGCTGATTTTAAAATACTTTCATGTTTTGATTACATTTATATGATTCATAAAAAATATTAATGATCCTTAATCCATTTTTTTATAATCGTTTAAATTTTTTCCTTAAAATTTGCTTAAGGTATGCTTATATCTGCTATAATAAAAAAATAATAATAATTTACAGAGCATAATAATTCTAATTTATTTTAATTTTTTTATTTTGCCTTCCTCATTTTATTTAATTTTTGTGTCATTGACTACTTTTGCAATGAAATTTTTGTTTTGTTCGATAATTTGATTTACTCGTTAACAATATACCAGATTTGTAACACAAACCTTAGGCATACTTTAGCGCTAAGTGTAAGAAACAAATAGAGTAATTTTTCATAGTTAATCCAGAAAAGGAGCCAAATTTTGACGACCTCCGTGGCCGAGTGGTTTGTACGCCGGGGTTTCATGTGATTACATTAAAAATTTATCTCTCAGAAAAATCAACTTACATGAATTACATTTAAGAGCACCTAGCGACATCTATTGTAAAATGCATTTTCTTCGCAATAAAGCTGCCACCTGGACGTCCTAGATAGAGACTTATTATTATAATACGATAAAATAAAATATTACTATGTTTCGTCCAATATATTGAAAGTCAACAACCTTTCCAATATTATTGTTTTCGTCTTACGAATTTTCGATTAGGCCACGTGTCCTGACGCGATCAAGCCACTAGTCCTGACGCAAGTTTAACATTTTTACCCATTACAAAAATAGTGTACAACGCCGCTAAAGAAGATTTCACTTCAAAAACTACCTACCTACAAATACATTCACAGATACTTTGATAAATTGAATTATCGAATCCCGGCAGATATTATAAAGTTTCCCCCGCTTCGATTCAAGATCATTAGCGATTCAGTGATCCGGCTCATTACTGCGATGGACAATTATGACGCTTTAATGACCACATGCGTGATTTCTATGTAATGGCTAGTGAAAATCGCGTTTTTATAGTGATGATCGAGTAGCGATGTCTGCTAATAATAACGCACTACAAGGTGACAGTAAACGTAAATTGCATCATAATATTATCCGAAATTAAACCTTTTTGGAGATATGTCCAGGTGGGAGAGTTGATCTTTCAAAATTGTGTTTAAATAAAGTGCAAACAAAGCGTCAATTCGTTCATTGGTCACATGCGAGATTGTTTTGTTGTGATTGGTGTCTTAAATGGAAAGATAATTCAATTATATAAATCTATGAACTACATTTTAACAGCAACTCTTGACTGATTGAGATGAACTTTTACACGGTTGTTTGGGTGACAATGCGTGGGCTAAATGACGTCATTCTCAATCCAGTAGTTTTTGTGTGCTCCCACGATATAGGTATCAAATTAAACAGTTTGTTAAAAAGGATTGCAAAAAACTAATTACTGTATTCAATTACTATTTAAATATCAGCTATTTAATACTAATATATATGTAAAACCGATTTCTGATTATAAATTTATTGAATTTAAACGTTATTGTGTCAAATAGTGTTGTTCTCCTAGGAAGCCTGTAAGAGTTTCAGGAGACTTTCGAACTCCGAAAGGAGTTGACAGAGCTAAGCCATTAACCCTGAAAGTACATATACCAGCTTTGGCGTCTCATTATCAGTCTTCTATGATTGCATGTACCTGAAATGCGTATATAGGAAGTATGTATATTTTTGTTATAATATAAGAATATTGGCTTTCCGCACTTCCTTCCATTCCATATTTGAATAATAATAAATCGAAAGATAATATAACTAGAAACACATAGCACTCGGTCCAGGTTCAAGACGGGATTTGAACCCGTATCTTCCACTATCCGATAACCAATTATGCTACCGATACCTTAATGGCAGTGCCCAATTTCCTATAGTATTTCTTAGTTAGCAAGGCAGCGCCATCTCTTTGCATTGTAGGTAACCCATAATGGCCAACGAAATACCTTCACAAGTATTAAACATAAGAAGAACTAGCTTTATTTGTAAGCATTTAAACATCTAGCAGTGAAATGCTTAAAAATAAAAATAAAATAATCTCCATAAAAAGTCTAGATTTCTAACTAACCTCTAATTAACCAAAGAATTTCCTAAAAGGCAATTATTAAGCCAAGTTTTAATTGCAATTGAATAAAAGAGCAATATTTAACAACTGCTTAACTTTAAGATTCAAAATGCCTTATATTACTCCAATATTTGAATAATATATTGTATCACTTGAATCACCAGCAAAAACTTAACACCAACAAACTGAAAGTTTTATTTTCTAAGATCTTCTGTTTGATCGGTTACTTCATTAGGCGCACACTCCAATTCAAGCGGAAAATTCCACTTTTAATTAATATGTAATGTCAATGACTGCTAAACAATAAAATTGATTCTCTGTTATCCAACATATTGGAAAATGATCTATGCTTTTTTTATTTTTAAAAGTTGTGATCAAAAATTAATACTAATAACTTACTCCGGTGGCGACGGCTTGCTCTAATTTGTTTTCTCTATGATCCTCTTCTTGACAATTCAACGTCAAGAGATTTGCCAAGAGGACCTAGAACATCATTTGTTTCATTACGCAAATAGGCTAATTAAACTAATATTAAAAAACTATGGTATAGAAAAAACTTTTTTTTACTTACCGTTAAGGCCAACGCACTAGCCATTTTAGCTGGCTTTGTACTTATAAAAAATCACATAAGATCCCACAAAACACAAAAAAAGGTTAATTAACAAACAAAAAATTTAAATATCGAATAACGACGGACAGCACTTGTCCATTGCCAAGGTCGTGATGATGCGAAGACGGTCCGACCCAACCACCACCTAGCTATTTATTAAACGCACACGTTTGCGTTAATGCACTATGAGTTTGATGCACAAACGCACACATGGACAGAGCGACAGTAACTCAAGAGATCCAATCGGCGTATAGTTAGTTGCAACGATTATCTTTACAGTAAGCGAAAATGCGGAAAGTGAGGTTATCTTCCAGGAACATTGTGTTGTTGCGATTGTAACTGTACTAAGTGACAGGCATCAGTTGAAATTGACAGTAACGGATAATGCGTTCGCCTCAGGATTTCCGGTATAACACCATTATTAAGTAAGAATGATACTTGCATGTAAATACTCAGATTGTTATAATAAATATGAAACTGTGGAAGGTTTTTTGTTGCTATTAAGTTACATTCTTGGATCTATGGATTTCGATGAAGTTCGGTACCTGCCTATGTTCTATACTACAATAAATTTCTGGTAAGATAAAATAGCTTAACGTACCTAACCTAACGTAACATACTAAGTAGGTACTTAGTATCTTATGAAGAACTCCCTTAAAATATAACCACATTATTCATTAACAAGAAGTAAGCTAAGACTAGTTACGCCATATTTTGTTGTGACAATGTGACAATGAACAGAGAAAAAACATAGAGTACCTAATCCAAGCTTATTCTTCGTTTACTGATAAGAAGGTTGAAGTTTAAAGAAACTTATTTTGTTAGCGGCCAGTATACTATAAGTATAGGCTTATGCCTAATGCACATGTAAATACTTTTTTTTTCACTGACATGAACTGCGAACTACATCCGTCCTTAAGGACGCAAATTCTACGCTCATGCAAGAACTCAGCTACCCAGGCGCAGAACTGAGCAGGCAGACCGTATGCAGGAAGCTTGGAGAGAAGGCTTTAGTGCCAGATCCTCAAAAGCCTTGGCGATGCCAGGCTGATAGCCAGAGACTCTCCCCGCTTGTCTTTAGCTTCACCCAAGATGTATCTCACGTACGCTAGAATGTCACCCGTCAATCGATTTGGCCTAAATCCGTGTTAACGATCAGATGGTTGTTAAGGACCCTTTCTAAGACTTTACACAACACTGAGGTGACAGCTATCGGCCGATAGTACTCCTCCGGCATACGCCCCAAAAAGTACGAGAGTTGGTACACGCACGTAAACACGTGAGACAACTCTGCTGCACAATGTTTCAGCACAACTGCTGGGATGCCATCGGGTCCACTAGTTTTCCGGTCGTCGAGTGATTGCAACTGCGCACAAACATCACGCTGCCTGATTTTAATATTGGGCATCGTAGTGCTACAATGAGGTAGTGAAGTGTAATTCCAGAGTAACCGGACTTTGCAGTTTATGCATATTTAGAAATTAAGTATATTATAATTTTCTTTAATTATAAACTTATACTATCGACCGGTTTCAATACCACAGGAGATTGGGAATGGCCATGGTAAAATTAAAAGTGTCTAAATAAAGTCGAACTATTATGATACTGTCACAGTTTTTTTTTATCTGATCTCATTTGAATCATTACATAGACAGTTTAAATTACAGTGCAGATGATAGCCTTCGGATAGGGCAGACTTTTAGAATTGGTCTGCTAGCGAATTACCAAAATAACAGTAACAAATCATATTAACCTTTTTTGTTTTCATTTTATCTATCTCCTTACGAAACGAACGGAAAATATTATTTATTAAACATTTATTAGTAAACAAAAGAGGTACCTGCCGATTTGCAATGTATCCTGAAAAGTAATTACCATCTATTACCAGTACCTTTGGGGGAAACGCATAATGCATGCGAGCTAGCGACCAAAGTTAATTGCGGCATCAGTGTAAATGGACGGAGTCAAGTACGCCCGAATTCGAGTAATTTCTTTCTTAGACATTCAAATGTCATTGCGGCATTATACATGTTTACAGATTTTATGTCAGCTTTCTATTTGACGACACTGTATGAAATAATACAGGGTGAAAAAAGCAGCTCTTGCTGAGTTTTTTGCCGGTTTTTCTCATTACAAGATCTCCCGACAAATGCTTGTTAAAGCCTAAACTGACTAAATGAATATTGAATTTGGAATTTCTTGTATATTGCGCGTCATAAGAAAGCCACCCAAAGGGCAATGGAAAGGGCTATGCTCGGAGTTTCTTTGCGGGATCAAATCAGAAATGATGATATCCGCAGGAGAACTAACGTCACTGACATAGCCCAAAGAAGCAATCCATAAGTGACAGTGGGCAAGGCACATTGCATGGACAGAAGTGACGGCCGCGTAACGTGAGACGCACCGTTGTTAGGACCCCTACAAGATGGACCGACGATTTGGTGAAGATTGCGGGAAGCCGCTGGATGCAGGCAGCACAGGACTGGTCGGTTTGGAATTCCCTGGGGGAGGCCTATGTCTAGCAGTGGGCGTTTCTCAGCTGATATGATGATGATGTAGGTAAAAGGGTTATTGAGATATTAACGTCTAAAAATCGCCAATTTTATCACTGACTGACTAAGCCACTGACTGGAAATAGACCAAAAAACCGGCCAAGTGCGTTTCGTGCGACACGCAGTGTAGGGTTCCGTAGTTGCCTGTAGTTATCACTTACATATTTGAGCAGGAGTCTTTATTTTCTATATTGAAAATTAGAAAAACCAATTAATATCAATTTATGTATCACAACTAAAATAGGTACCTAAGTCAAAGTCAAATTGCGTCTCAAACACAAAATCAGTTCGATGTTATTATTTTTCAAGTACGAATGATAACCCCCCATTTTTTTGTTTCCTCCTAGGCGTGGGAGTGGTTGTGAAATCCTCATGGATACACCCGTAGTTCATGCTTATGGCTAGAAGGGCCTTACAAGCTTCAGTTGAAGCGATCATCCCCTGAGAAGGGGATAATGCGGTATATCCAACGATTTTTCAAGCGCTTATATATTTTTTATAAAAACGTAACGATAGCGCGACTCAGAAGCCGTTGCCGTTAGTACTCGCGGTAGCGTTGTGGAACAAATGATATTTTATTGTCGTTTATAGTTTTTCTTTAGAATTTGTTGCAATGCAAGATTTACAGTACAATAACTTCATCTCATTCATGTCCCTATTAAAGTTTTATTCTAAGGACTTTTCAATAGCTAAGAAATTTTGTTTAACCAAAGTTGAACGACTATTCCTCTTAAACTAATAAATATATCTTAACCGTTATAGTTTTCCTTAAAATTTCATCATAAGCACTATCTATTATCATATTTTTTTCTAGGTTTTTCAAGGCAATAGTTTAACTTTTAGACGAGGGAAACGCCCTACTCGAACAAAAATTAGCACTTTAAAGTTCAATATATCGCAAACGGATTCCTTAATCGAAAAATTGTCCCCCTAATTAATTTTAAAGGACATATTCAACGACATCCCACACGATGGGATAGATGATGAAAAAAAACATCCCCAGGTTACATGTAGGGGAGCTACTCTAAAAAATATTTTTCAAAATTCTATTCTATCATTTTGTCAGCGTGATCGATATACATATCTCCACAAAATTACAGCTCCCTAGTGCTAATAGTCTCCAAGCAAAACAAGGGACGGACAGACGGACATGACAAAACTATAAGGGTTCATTGTCACGACTACGGAACCCTAAAAAACGCCATTTTTCACAAGACTTAAAAAGTAATAATTAGGGTAATTATGTGTAAACACCATAATTATTTAGAAAACACAAATTTTTTGTTTGTTAAAAAATATTTTTGCGCTTTTTGCTTACTTTCTTACTCTACATTTGTTTTATTTCCAGATCAGCTGTGATTAATTATGTGTGTAATTGGCTTCATGCAAGAAAAGTTTTTCATTTGTTTTTGTTGTTTTGGACTAATTAACGATGCGAAAGTTAATTTAAGTTATGTTAGTTTATTAAATATTAAACTAAAACAAAAGTGACAACTATGTTAACGAAAATTGTTTTGTAAGTGAAACTCCTTTACACACGCTTGACTTGGAGGGTAAGCTGGCGAATGCGTTACGCGTTACGAAATGTATGTGTAATATTTACATAATTGTACTCTACAACAATGTAACAATTAAAATGCATTATTATTGGCAACCAGGAATTCGCGAAAACTTTTTTATAAATGAAAGTCTGTTTTGACTTACTGGATTCATCACTAAACGAAGTCGTCATCAATGAAACGGTAGAGAGTATTTATTTTGTTAAAAAAAAACAATATTCTTGAATTTATATTTTTAGCAACATAAATTAATTTAACATAAATTAATTCATGTTGCTGAATCCTCTCAAAGGTAACAGTCCTTTTCAGAGTATATATTTTTTTATTTTTGTTTTTAACTACAAACTGTTACGAGACTTTATTATAATGAACATTAACAAAACATAATATGAATAAAACAGAAATTGTAAAAGGTACTTAATAGCGGTAACTTTCAATCGCATATTTCCAATTACGTGGATTTTTCCAACCAATGTTTTTCCATACAATGTTACTATAGTTTGACTGATTATCACAATACGACTATATAATTTTTTTTGTAATCTCTTATATTAATATTTTGAATTTATTTTATCGGACTCTTCATTTGGTGCTTAATTGATCAAACGCGTTCCAAAACTTTTTTAATCAAATACAGTTCTTAAATCATAAATACCAATGACTTGATCATATTCTGACGACCTCCGGGGCCGAGTGGTTTGTACGCCGGGTTTTATGGTGTCGCCGACTCGAGAGGTCCGGGCGCTCGAATCCCGGTGGGGGCAGATGTTTGAATGATGAATACGAGCATTGGTACTCCAGTCATGGATGTTTTACATGTATTTCTATATAAACATACTTATATATGTACGGTGTATGTATTTTAGCCGTTACCCTAGTAACCCATAACACAAGCCTTACAGTGCTTAATTTGGGGCTAGGCTAATTGGTGTGAGTGTTGGAAATATTTATTTATTTTATTCATTTATTCTATCGTTTTCATAATAGGCAAGTCATCAGTGCAGCGTAACTCCTAAATCACAGTACCTTGCCAATTGAAGTGTAACCATATGATAGAATCCAAAGTGTTATCCATTAATAATTTTACTTTTTTGCAAACTATTCTTCATGTTT